CTATATAGCTGCGCCCACCCCCCGTCTCTAGCCTACACTCTCTTCGTAGCCAACTCATGTTAACTATTGGACTTATAGTTCTTAGTGACAAGTGACTTCTCATACCTTGTGTTCTCCCCAACCAGTTCATACTATTCAGATTGTTACTAGGAACCCTAACCCAGTTAGGCCCCAGTAGGATCTTTAACAGAATTCTTCTTACTTCTCTACGGTATCTTTAATATAATCAGTTTATTTCTATTCTACGCCATTATCGTCGGATCCGGTGTCGTTATTATCTATATTAGTTCTAACGAAGACGGCTATAAAGAATCTTTAGAAGAAGATAAGGATATAGCGAAAGACACTAAAGAAGTGCTCGTAACTAGTCCCCGAAACCTCGGTATCCTAGATTACTCCGATGCCATCGCTTCTATACTTCGAAAGAATTAGTCTAGAAGCTCGCGCACACTCCCGATTCCTTTAAGTAGTAGCTAAATTAATAAGTAAACTAGCTACGCTCCTAGTAAGGCGCCTTCTTCTCGGAACTTAATCTAATAGTCGAATAGATCTCGTTCTTCAATACTTAGTTCGCAATCTTCCCGATCTATAAGTAATCTTCGTATACGAGAGGACCGACCTTTCTAATTAGTTTCAATATTACGCGAGCAACCTCTATAGCGCTGACTAAGTTCGTATCTCGAATACTAATTAGCTAGAAGAACTATATTCGACGCAGTAATAGCTAGCCGTCGATAATATCTCCTTTATCTATCTAACCGTAATAGTCTAGAATCACTATTATAGCTCCATGCCGAATTCTCTATTAAAACATTCCTCTATCTTAAAACTTATTTATATTCCGTGTCTCTCTACTTCTTTTCTTCGTTGTTCCGCGTATCTATCTTCTTACTTCTTATGTCTTAGTTCTTCGGTGAATATGCTTTTTCGACGGCTCGTCTAGAAGAACTCCTAGGCCTTAGAGAGATAGTCTTCTTTCTCTCCGAGTTCCGCGTTAGGCTTTATACGTCACAATATCATAGCGTCTCGTTCTACTAATCGAGTATCTTCCCTTCGGAAATATCTTCACTATAGTATTCTATCCGCGACTAATTAATTTACTTCTTAAAAGAGCCATTCATCTTAAATCCTCCTTAATATTTCGATTCTAAACTCTTTCGTAGAAAAGATTTCCTAAATAATTAGCGGACTCTATCTCTATGAGCAGCCTCACCGTTTTTTAGGGTTAAACCGATGTCCACGTGAATTTTAGTCGTCAACCTTGAACTTCTATTTAGTCGTGTCCTTCACTCTTTAGTATTAACTTCAGCAATTCTTAATATAGTATCTTATTAAGACATTATCGTAAAGAGCTCGAATCTTCGATGAATAGATCATCTTCCCGCGGTCGCCAACTATAATAGAGCACTTTAGGGTTTGGCGTGCACGTATAACAACGCATAGAGGCCTATCCAGTAGATCGGGAATCGGGAACGCGTTTCTGGTTAATACTGACAACAACATCACCAACACTACCTAGAGAGGCAGCGGCTAGGGCTACGAACACCTAGCACAGCGGCAGTATCGAGGAATAGGACAGGACTGATAAAACACTCTTAGGATTTAGGTAGACGGCACTAAAAGCCATGGAATTCATAATACTCTGCTCAATCTGTAAAAAATGAATGGTACACTGCCAGCACTGTAAACTGTTCCGTACCTCCTCTCTGCCAGCCCATTTAGGTTTGACATGTGACTAGACAACTTTTTCACCTTGCCACCGCTCTACCAGCCCAGCACAGCCCATCACAGCACAGCCACCTTGCCTTGTTACAATAGCCCTAGCCGCTGCCTCTCTAGGTAATGTTAGTGGTGTTATTTTATTAGTATTAACTAGAAACGCGTTCTTAATTCCCGATCTATTGGATAGGCCTCTATATGTTGTTACACGTACACGCTAAACTCTGAAGTGCTCTATTATAATAGAAAGAGTAATAAAGATAATAGTTAAGAATAATATTTTATAAATTTATCTTAATTTAAATTTATTAAAGATAATCTTAATTCTCTCTTATTTTAATATACTTATATATATTTAATACTTCTTAATTAATATTATATTAATCTTCTACGATAAAAATTATCGTATAAATAATTTATAATCTTTTTAAAGAGATTCGAGATCTTATATCGAAAAGAATTAAAAAGTTTTAAGATTATCTTCTTTATATATTAATAGACTACTTAATAATATCTAAAAAAAAGAAATCTTATTAAATAGATAAAAAGCTTTAAATAGTACTAAAAAAATATATACGACTACCTCTTTACTTTAATACTTTATAATATATAAAATTAACGGGTGTAATTTAAATATAATGTAGCGAACGTAAATTAAGCCATTTTTACGTATCGGGCCTCAGACTCATTTATCGCAACATTCTTTGAATTTTGTGATTGGCTGGCGCTTTAGCTCATAGCCTAGCCAATTAGGGCGTAGCCCCGATATCGGGTCTGAGCACTGAGACAATAGCCTTACTGTTACACACAGATTGAGAGTGGATCTATCTAGTTGATTGTGTTCTCGCCTCTGGCTTTTCAGAGAGACTCTGCCTATCTATATACTGGTTGCACTGTGGCAACAAGCGATCCGTTGAATAAGTCTAGACCTGGCCAGATCTGTCTAGACCTCGTTGTCGATCAACGGTGGCACCGAGGCTATTATAGAGAGGCCTCGGTTGATGCGTTTGGTGGATTAATTGGTTTGCCACAGTGGCGCACTGCTGTCAACAGAAGGCTTCCAGTACTCGTGTGTATTGGAGGTCTCAAGAGAAGCCACGCTGACATTCCCATCTGGTAATTCCCACGCTTAATTAGCATTTAGAGTCTCTGAAGTGCGACATCAACTATGCCTATGAGCCACAATGCTTCGCACATTGTTAGAGAGGCTATTCCATCTAGTCATGCGAGCACGTGGCCATGGCTGATAGAAGCTCGTCCTTTGGCGACTAGTCTGTATCCGCGAGAAGTGCTTCGGAACGAGATGAATTCTTTGAAAAAGCAATCTCTATTTTGACCAGGCATCTCGAGCCTTGTACGGGCTTGACCTGAAGATAGTGGGCAGGACGTTCCATGTATTTTGTGCTACTACTCGTTATGACGTGGTTTGACCACAATGTAGCGTTGCAATCAGGCCCAGGAGTTCTACACTGTAGTGTGAACAAAGGACGATTCTAGCAAGCAAAAATAGATGGTCTTGACTCAACTAGCTATGCTCGCCATCAGCCACGCACAATCGACATAGCTACGTTGTGGCTATTCCCCCCTTCCCTTCTCCCTCCCCCTCCAAACCCTGACTGTGCCTACCTCGGGCTGTTTCCGACACCCTTATCACATCACTGCGCCAAGGTCTGACTAACGGATGCTGGTAAGAAAGGACAAGGGTTGTTGTGAATACTATTCGAAGGAGAAGAGGAATTTTCTTTGAAACTATATAAGCCCCTCCTAGGCTGAGAGTGAATGAGCTCCGCGACCTCAACTGCGATGCTACCTAGGGCGGTGATGTATAGGGACCAGAGCTTAAGACCAGTAACCTATTTCTCAGGATCGCTCTCGTCCCCGATCACAGGCTAAATTGCGGATTGATAGACCGATTTAGTCTACTTACTTAGTTTTCGTTGCCAAGTGCACAGCCTACGGCCTTGTCATTCTTGTCTTCTGCAGACTTAGTACGATCCTGCCTTGCTTCTATGATCTACCGACCTAAGCATACCACCGCGCGAACTTGTAACTTTCAGCTTGACTCAACGCACTTTCCTAGGCTTTTAAAGATGGAGGTGTTTGACTACAAGCAGCAGCGCTCCCAGTTGCCAGTACTAAACCCAGACCGAACATCGAAGGGATACATATTTGGTGCAGGCTCCCGAACATCAATTGTGATACATCAGTCCGTTAGTAGGCCTTGATGAAGAGTGAGCTACGCTCGATTGTTCCTATTAGGACACATTATTGGGACCATTCATCGAGGAGGGGCTGTTTCTCAGACGGACGATATTCGCATAGTTGGCTCCTTTTTACATGAGAACATTTGTCTATCTGTCTAGCTAGCCTTTCGACTTGATCTGTTCCGACACAATGGGCCACTCCCGGCGGGCCGTCTCCTCGGCATCATTTTCCCACAAGTATTCACTCGATATGGACACACTGCTGACTTGGAAATCTTGCCTCACTTTGCCGGTGCTTCGGTCGTGGACATTGTGGTATCGGTCTCTTGTCTCGATGCCAGTAGCCTGCGCTTTGGCCGCGTAGTCCCTCCGGATGCCGGCATACGTGCGAAGAGCTAGGGGTACATTGCCTTTGCCGGCCTGTTTCAGGCAGTAGGCGATGGTGATGCCGTCCTCGATAGCCTGGCTAGCGCCCTGGGTCGACGTGGGCAGGAAGGGGTGCGCCGCATCACCCATGATGGCAATGAGGCCACTGTCCGTCACCCACTTCTCCAGGCATGGCCGGAACACCAGTTTCCAATCCAGGCACATGGGGGCTTTCTTCCAGGCGGCCCGGTATGACTCGTTCCACCCTTCGATCAACTTGAGCACGTCCTCGGGGTTGCCCGGCTGCATCCAGCCTTCGTCAATGTCGGCCACGTCCTTGTGCGTGATCATTAGATTGACCTCGTCGCCGCCGCGTAGGACGTTGACGATGCCATGCATATCTGGCGCGAGATAGACGTGGACACAGTCGCCTTGTTCGAGATACTTGGCCGTCAGCGGATCGTCCCTGAAGAGAGCCCCGGGGAAGAAGGTACGGTAAATGGCGTAGCCACTGTGTAGAGGCTTATCGTAATAGCCCAGGACCCTCTCACGGCCCTTAGACTTGACCCCGTCGGCGCAGATGATGGCGTCGGCCACGATCTCCTCTCCGTTCTCTAGGAGGGCACTAGGTTTGCTCGTGTCGTAGTCAACGACTTTAGTGTCCAGCCGCACGTCCGCCCCCACCTTCTTCGCGTGGTTAAGTAGGATCATGTGGTAGTCGCCCCGGTGGCCGACTAGACTAGGGCAGCCGTAGTGTGTCGCCCCACGACCCAGACTATCGTCCTTGCCCAGAAGGTCGCCTGTGTCGTAGCTACGCATCTCCATGGACGTGGCTTTGCTCGAGATGGGCCACATCTCGTCATAGATACCCCAGCGACGGAAAATGCGAGACGTATTAGGGCCGAAGCCGATCGAATCACCTAGCCGTAGAGGCTCGGAGAACTGGTCGACCACCGTCACGCGAAGGCCTTGTCTGCGACAGGCGATCGCGCAACCTAGTCCACCCAGACCAGCGCCAACGATCAAGATGTGGAAATCGGACGAGGGATCAGAAACCATGATGGGCAACAGAGGGGTCTTTGGAAAGAAACTTGGCAGGAAATAAAGCTGTGACTGACAATGTCGAGATTGACATCAATGCTGTAGTTTGACTCAAGTCGAGATCAGGGGCGGTTGTGCAGCAGTTAAAGGAACCCCGAGACCGAGACTGAGTGAGAAAGAGAGACACCCTTCAAGGATACCCCCAACCAGAGTCGAGCGGGTAGAGGATAGATGGCCCTTAACCCCCCAGAACCAAGTGGTATGTGGAGGAGGGGTGGACTCGTCGAGGAAGACAAAGAAGTACGACGGCGTTTTGGTCCTTGGGTGCACCGTATCAGGGTCACAATCCTCGATAAAAGAAAGCTCTTTGGAGTCCATCCGTTGTGTGATTGGTGATATTCGAGTCTGTGGTGAGATATTTATGTACAATCCAGATCTCTATCGCATCCGCTCAGGAGAGGCAAACGTCGTTCTGGATCAGTACGGAGTATTTTCGGGGGAATGGGTTCACTGGAGACCACTCACCACTCTTAAGGGTAGACTTGTATGTGGGGTAGGGCGGAGGCGGAGGGGGTCATTACCGAAATGCGTTTAGGTTTATTTAAGTTCCAACCTCGTACTCCTGGTGAGCTGCTGATTTCTTGATGCAAAAAAGGAACTAGGACCCTGCAAGTGCGGTCTTCCCAAGCCGTCTGCACTTGACAGACAAGAGATGCTGAGGAAAAGATGAAAGAAGGCCTGTGACATTTGGGTAATTAGGTATAATCAATTGAATCCTAGGACACCTATGTTACGGGCCGCTGGAGCAATCTGGAAACGCAGGCTCCCATGTCACTTTCAGTGTCCTCTCTTTCTCTCTTTTTCTCTCTGTCTCCCCCCTCCTCCCCTCCTCCCCCTCTGGGCGCTTGCACTATAACCCGCGAGAGCCTCCCACGATGCCATAATGATTGTCTGGGCTTAGGACTTTCGCTGGACCAAGGCCTCCAGGCGAGCCTCCTTGGCCTCAACACATTCGTAGGTGGGGAATTTTCGGATGGGCACATTGTTATTGTAGCACTCGTCGATCTCCTCCAAGGTCCGCTTGTTGGTCTCAGGGACGCAGAAGAAGGTAAAGAGAGGAATCAGCAAGTTGAAAGGCACCCACAGATAGGCGTAGTTGCCGCCCCAGTTGAGCGAGGTCGGGTTGATGAAGTAGGGCACAGTGAAGACCAACAGCCAGCCGGCCGTGAAGGTGATGGCGGACGCGAGCCCCAGGGTCATGCCACGCAGGGGTTGGTTGGGGATCTCCGCCGCCACTTGCCAACAGAAGGGCGAGACGGTCGCGCAGAAAAAGAAGACGTAGATGCACGACATGGCGATAATGACCCGCCCTCCTGTGGCGCCCACTCCTTCCGTCGAGTATGCCACCCCCATGCCCAGCATACAGAGCGTCATCATAGATCCTCCGATAATGAAAAGCTTACGCTTGCCCAATTTACCAGTGTACAGGGGAGTCAGCAGAGCGCCAGCAAGACCCAAGCACTGTAGGATGACCCCATCCAGGAACGGCTTGGTGTTGCCCGATAACATAAAGAAATAGACACCATACTGGATGATGAATTGACTTCCGCTACTACCGGCGAAGCAAGCCACGCCCACCGAGGTGAGGGTTCGCTTAATGACCTTGGGCTTAAACAAATCAGCCGGGCTAACTCCTCGTGTAACCTCGAGGTCGACCTGGATGGCGTGACGGATCTCGGCAAGCTCCTCTTCAATCTGGAGGTCCATGTAGGAGGCATCGCGCAGGCGGCGGAGAGAACGTCGCGCATCCTCAGTCTTGCCGCGGACGCACAGCAGACGGGGGGACTCCGGCAGGAAGATGAGGCCAATCGCCAACACGGTAGTCATGATGTAGTTGATGCCCAGCGGGATCTGGTAGGAGGAGCGGTCCAGGCGTGTGGCAGTGTAGTTGTCGACGATGCTGCCAACCAGGGCCCCGATGCTCACCCACACCTGGAAGAGGGTATAATTAAACGTCCGCAGGTTGGCGGGGATACACTCCTGCATATAGAGCTGCGGGCCCATGAGGAGTAAGCCGTTAGCGAAGCCAAGAATGAGACGGCCGGCGTACAGGCCCCCGAGGCTGGTGGTAGTGATCTGGACTGTGATGCTGACCATCATCAAGGCGCACCCGAGCCAGATGCCTCCCTTACGGCCGATTCTGCCACTGATGGCGCCAAAGACTAGGGTGGAGACCAACATGCCGAGAGAGACCAAGCTCATGATGAGCTGTTGGACGGTGGTGTGAATCCCCAGGCCGCCGGGAAGGTTAGGGTCGGCATAGCCAAACACGAGCAGGAACCCCGGCATGGCCTGGAAACCATTGACCGTGCCCTGGTCGACGCCGTACTCGAAGGACGCACAGTTGAGGAAGAAGGCGATGGCAATGATCTTCTTGTTGCTCAACCACGACGTGTTGATAATGGAAATGGAAGCGTCCGAGACCGCGGGCGTGGCATGGTCCATGCCTGAGGACTCAATGTGGGAGATGGTCGTGTCCTTGACGTCCGTGGAGCGAGGCAAGGCTACTACTGTGGGAGGAGAAGACATTCTTGGGGGATGGCTAAGACTAGGAGGAGGTGACTGGTCTGCAAGTGTGTAGTCCAAGCAAAGGATCATGTCCCAAGATATAGGCATAGACGACAATGCCCAGCCGCACCCCTGAACATGACCTGTCCGGAGGGAATCCACACATCTGGGGAAGGGGGGGGGGGGGCGTTGGTGGCAGCAGCGAACCCACGCGCCTTACAGTGAACCTTTTAATATTCCCCTTTCCTCTTTCTCCCTTTTTGTGTTTCAGAAGAACCCAGTTCTAAGCACCGACGCTGGCAAGACCCCCGATCC